AGCGCCACTTCCAGTTTTCTGGTGGTTTATTGGAGATAAGAGTTTCAAGGAGTTTCCTGCCTCAGATGGCTTTGAACAGCGATCCTCAGATCTCAGCCTCCTGAGTAGCTAGGATTTATAGATGTGAGCCACTAGCTCCTGGCTTTCTTTTGGATTTCTTGAATGTTTGTTGCGCTATTTCCATTTTCATCTTTTATTTGATCAATTCGAGTCTCTTTTTTTTTTTTGTCAAGTTAGTTAGGGTTTTGCCAATTTTATTAATTTTTTCGAAGAATCAGCTATTTGTTTTGTTGATTCTATTTATAGGTTTTTAGGTCTCTTAATTCATTGATTTCTGCCCTAATGTTTACTATCTCTGATCTATCATTTCTTTCATTATATTATTTACATTCCTCTTGCTATTGTTAACCTGTTATTTAGAGTGGTGGCTGGGGCTCTGGAAAGGGGTCTGAGGGTTCTCAATGTTCCTGACTTCTCTCCATAGCAAGTTTTCAGATACTTTAGTATGTTTACACAATAGAAAAGTTCTCTCTGCATACTCTTACTTTTGCCATTTGAAAGTTCCCTGGAGTTTTACTTAGACAAGATTCATTGTAAGCCGGGCGCTAGTGGCTCACGCTTGTAATCCTAGCTACTCAGGAGGCTGAGACCTGAGGATCGCGGTTCAAAGCCAGCCTGGGCAGGAGAGACCGTGAGACTCCTATCTCCAATAAACCACCAGAAAACTGGAAGTGGTGCTGTAGCTCAAGTGGTAGAGTGCTCGCCTTGAGCTGAAGAGCTGAGGGACAGTGCTCAGGCCCAGAGTTCAAGCCCCACGGCCGACAAAAAAAAAAAAAAAAGATTCATTGTAGAGGTAGACATCTGCTCTCTTTTTTTAAAATATAATTTTGTTTTTATTATTAAGGTGTTTACAGCGGGGTTACTATTTCATAAGTCAGGTAAAAAATACAATTCTTTTTTGACAATATCACCTGTTCTTCCACTTTGCCTCAGTTTACTCCCCTTGCTTTAGTGTTATGTGGAGATTTTATCTTTCTTAGTTCTGTCATTTCTTCTTACATAGTTACATTGTCTGCCTTATATTTATTAACTTTTTCAACCAGCTAAGGACTTATTCTTTTTAAGTCAGCCACATAAGGATTTATTCGCTTGCCTTGTACCTATTGTTAATTTTTTTTTTCCTAGTCCTGGGGCTTACACTCTGGGCCTGGGCACTGTCACTGAGCTTTTTGCTCAAGGCTAGTGCTCTACCACTTGAGCCACAGCGGCACTTCCAGCTTTCTCTGTGTATGTGGTACTGAGGAATCAAACCCAGGGCTTCATGAATGCATGGCAGGCACTCTACCACTGAGCCACATTCCAGCCCCTATTGCTAATCTTGTAAAAGACTTTCCGTTGCCTTCCCAGATATCTTGTAATCATTGTAGGATCTTAGGCCTAATATGGCTCCTTTCACTTCCCAAGAGTAGAGTAGGTAATGCTTGTAGGTATGCCTTTTGGATGAGAGAATTTGCTGCCCATCTCTCAACAGACTGTCATTTCCTTATAGTAAAAGGGAATAGACGGGGGACTGGATGAACACTGTGTCTGTCCCATGGCCATTACTAATCACTTCTTTATGCCTGGGCTATCAGATGAACTTCGCATCCTGAGCATGTGAGGTGTTTCCTCAAAGGAGGTCTTCAAATATTGAGGGATACCAAGAGGTTACTGTAGTTGTTTCCTTTTTTTATGTCTAATTTTCTATTATTTATAATAGGTTAATTATAGACTACTAGGAAATTTCCAAATTGACTTATCCTGTAAAATCAGAATGATGTTATTTAGGGATAATTCAATTAAAACTTGATTTTAAATATCATTAACTTTAAAAGAAATACCAGTGCAACCCAATGTTATAGAAGAATAATTCAAGGTGTATTAAAGACTTAAATGACAAACTGAAAGATTAAAAACTCTTGGTAGAAACTATTGGTGAATATTTTTTAAAATTATGTATAGAAAAAAAGATTCTTTTTTTTAATAAGTTTTTTTATTGTGATAATACCGTACAGAGGGGTTACAATTACATGAGCAAGGTAATGAGTACATTTCTTATCAAGCATTGTTGCCTTCTCCTTTGTTTCCCCTGAAAAAAAGATTCTTTAGACACAAAAAAATGTTATTCATAAAAAAATGGTAAATTAGACATGTGCCTTTTAGCTACTTGGGAGGTTGAGGCAAGTGGATAACTTGAACTCAGGAGTTCAGGACCAGTCTGGATAATGTAGCAAGACTCCATCTAAAAAGGTCAAACTAAGCCAGACACCAGTAGCTCAAATCTATGACTCCTCAGAAAGCTGTTATATGTTCAGAGTCAGTCTTGGCAGACAAATCCATGAGACTCTTATCTCCAGTAAGCCAGCAAAAAAACAAAAATGAACTGGTACCAGTAGCTCATACCTGTAATCCTAGCTACCCAGGAGGCTAAGATCTAAGGACCATGGTTTGAAGGCAGCCAGGCAGGAAAATCCATGAGACTCTTATCTACAATAAATCACTAAAAACCTGGAAGTAGTGCTGTTGCCCAGGTGGTAGAGTGCTAGCCTTGAGCAAAAAAGCTCAAGAACAGTACCCAAGCCCTGAGTTCAAGCCCTAGAACTAGCATTTGTACACATACACAAAAATCCAAAAATGGAGGTCAGACTCAGGTACTACAGTGACAACCATGAGGCAAAGAAGCTGAATGAGAGCTTTAGGCAGAGTATAAGCCCCAGTGCGGGCACATACATAAAAAAAAAGTCAAAATAACAATTAAAAAAACTATTTACAAAGACCTCTACAAATCCATAGGTAAAAGCACAAAAATTCAACATAACAGTAAGTAAAACACATGAATTTGTATTTTATTTATTTATTTATTTGGGTCCGGTCGTGGGGCCTGAATTATGGGCCTGGGAGCTGTCCCTCAGCTCTTCAGCTCAAGGCTAGCGCTCTACTACTTGAACCACAGCGCCACTTCCAGCTTTTTTCTTTTTGCTTATGTGGTGCTGAGGAATCGAACCCAGAGCCTCATGCATGCAAGGCAAGCACTCTACCACTGAGCCACCTTCCCAGCCCCATGAATTTGTATTTTACAAAATGGCACATAATGATCAGTAAATATAAAAGGAAAATCTGGATCTTATTTTATTTTATTTTTTTTGGATCCGGTCGTGGGGCCTGAACTCTGGGCCTAGGCACTGTCCTTCAGCTCTTCAGCTCAAGGCTAGCGCTCTACCACTTGAGTCACAGCGCCACTTCCGGGTTTTTTTTCTTTTTGCTTATGTGGTGCTGAGGAATCGAACTCAGGACCTCAGGCATGCAAGGCAAGCGCTCTATCACTGAGCCAACTTCCCAGCCCGAAAATCTGGATCTTAAGTGAATTGGGAAATCTAAGTTACGACCACTTACAAATCTTTTCATACTCAATCCCTTGGCAGAAATTAAAAGGATCTTCTTATATGTCACTGAAATGAATATAAATTCATGCAACTACTCCTGCTTATAATTTGCCATTATTTCCTGAGGTTGAACTATTATTTATTTATTTATTTATTGTCAGTCGTGGGGCTTAAATTTGGGGCCTGGGCATTGTTCCTGAGCTCTTCAGCTCAAGGCTAGCGCTCTACCACTTGAGCCACAGTGCCATTTCCATGGACATTCTTGCCTGGGCTGGCTTTGACCACCATCCTCAGATCTCAGTCTCCTAACAGGCATGAGCCACCAGTGCCCAGGTTCCTGACGTTAAATTTGCACACATCTTTTACTCCTGCAGTCCCATTTATGACAGTATTTTTCCCCTGTATAACAGGAAGCATGTACACAAATGTTTATAGCAGCATTGCTCACATTACTAGCTAAAACATAGAAACAACCTAAATGCCATCAGAGAGAGAGCAAATTAAAAACAAACACTATGATACACACATACCCCAAAATGCTACATACAACAATTAATGTAATATTGTGGAGGAGATTGAGTAATATAGTATTACATGAAAAATGTAATTCCCAAGAAGTCTCATTCAGCATGGTGTGTACACTATTTTTATAGAATCAAAGTACCCATTAAAATTAAAGTAAGAGGATTACATATATATGTAGAAAACCAAAAACCATAAAAAGAAAACCAACGGGGCCAGGTATGGTGACACATACCTGCAATTCCAGTACTTGAGAGACTGATATAGAAGGAAGGAAAATTCCAGGCAAGCCTGGGCAACATAAGAAACCACCTGTCCTCCCACACCCCAAAACAAACAAACAAAAAAACAGCTAAATGCTTTGGGCATGCCTGTAGTCTTAGCTTCTCAGAGACTGAGGCAGGAAGATTATTTGAGCCTAGGAATTCAAAGGTACATATGGGCAACATAGTTAAGACCCTGTCTCAAAGGAAAAAAAGAAAAGAGAATGATGAACGTGATTGGTATGATAACTTTTGAGGGTCAGGGAAACAGGACGGTTGGCTGGAAGAAGTAGAGACAACATGGTTTACCTTAAATTATTATCAAGGCCTTAGCTTTTATTTTGGATAGTGTTTACTTGCTAACAAAAATACTACTGTTCTTAGTTATTTTTAGGCCTTTTCTGTGAAATTAACTATAGAGCTAGTGTGATCTATCACACATATCAGTCATGTTATCTTTTTTCTTGCTTGTTCATTTACTTATATGTTGCCACACCAGCTTTGAAAGACTTTGAGTTTTCTGAAAATAAAATTTAGCTGAAAAACTGATAATTTCCTCTGAAGCAAGAGGTATTAGAAATAATTTTGTTAGCATTATGTGATAATACTTCCCTTGAAGGGAGTAGTCCTCTTATACAACTTTGGCATGTTTATTTTAAAGTGACCTTTTGAGCATAGTCTGTTTATTGCATGGGAATAATACTTAACCAGTATCCTTCTGAGCATGTCTTTAGGTGATTCTGTGATTTATTTTGTAGCAAGTAAACTTTTCTTTGTTTATCTCTTTTACCAGGTATACAATGTTTACATGGCAGGAAGGCAGTTGTGTTCTAAGCGGTACCGGGAATTTGCCATCCTACACCAGAACCTAAAGAGAGAGTTTGCCAACTTTACATTTCCTCGACTTCCGGGAAAGTGGCCATTCTCATTATCAGAACAGCAACTGGATGCCCGGCGTCGGGGGTTGGAAGAATATCTAGAAAAAGGCAAATCATTCTATTAAACTCTACTATCCTCAGTAGACATATATTCTATGTATATATTGCGAACTGTGTAGCTATGTCTCTTGAAACTCAGTAGTGAGAGTAACATAAAATTTCTGACTATAAGAGTGATCTGAGCCGAGCACTAGTGGCTCACACCTGTAATCCTAGCTACTCAGGAGGCTGAGATTTGAGGATCCTGGTTCAAAGCCATTCCAGGCAGGAAAGTCTGTAAGACTCTTATTTCCAATTAACCACCAAAAAGCCAAGTAGTAGAGCTGTTGCCCAAGTGTTAGAGTGCTAGCCTTGAGCAAAAAAGCTCAGGGACAGCATCTAGGCCCTGAGCTCAAGCACCAGGACCAGCACAAAAAGTGATTTGAGCTTTGAGGCAAGACTGAAATGTCTGCTACACTGATTAACAGCCTGCTTTATTGGCTCCCAAAAAACTTAGCAACAGAAAAATAAAATAGTTTTTGATGCATTTGACCTTTATTTATAGAATTATATTACATATGCAAATGAAATGGAATTCCGTGCTCATTTGGGAACTAAATGAGCAGTATTTAAGGCATTTTTATCAAAATGATGTTGGTTCACTCAACATCCTACATGAAAACTCTTTATATATTTTGTTTTGTTTTGTTTTGTTTTTGCCAGTCCTAGGCCTTGAGCTCAGGGCTTGGACTGTCCCTGAGCCTCTCTGTGGTCAAGGCTAGTACTCTACAACATCAGCCACAATGCCATTCTGGCTTTTTTTCTGCTTATGTGGTACTCAGGAATCGAATCCAGGGCTTCATGCATGCTAGGCAAGCACTCTGCCTCTAAGCCCACATTCCCAGCCCTCTTTATAGATACTCAAGGTAGATTTGCTAAACTCTCGATAGTCTAAACTCCCCTTCTTCTAAGCAGGCTATAGTTAGAAGGCTGCTGAAGCATTTGTTTTTCTAGAATGGCAGAGAAATGACACAAATGTCCTGAGTAAGATATTTTGTTGCTTAGAGAAGAGACCTTTCCTTGCTTTTTTTTTTTTTTTGCTGGTCCTGGGGCTTGAACTCAGGGCCTGGGCACTGTCCCTGAACTTTTTTTTTTCCTTTTTTTTTTTTTGTTGGTTGTGGGGCCTAAATGCTGGGCCTGGGCGCTGGCCTTCAGCTCTTCAGCTGTAGACTAGCACTCTACCACTTGAACCTCAGCCCCACTTTCGGCTTTTTCTGCTTATGTGATGTTGAGGGATCGAACTGCGGACCTCATGCATACAAGGCTCTACCACTGAGCCACCTTCCCAGCCCCTTTTTTTTTCTTTTGCTCAAGGCTAGCACTCTACCAGTTGAGCCACAGCACCACTTCTGGCTTTTTTCTGTTTATATGGTACCAAGGAATTCAATCCAGGGCTTCATGCATGCTAGGCAAGCACTCTACCACTAGCCACATTCCCAGCCTACTCCTTGCTATATTTTAAAATACAGGAATTATCATTGTATGTGATATTTAATAATCTATGTCTTTATGTGCTTATGTAAAAACGAACTGACCTAGTTTAATTAAAATTAATTGGTAGGAAGTCTTACCCCCCTGAAGAAAAATCATTTCCCCCATAGAAGGTAGTAGAACTTCCTTGTCTTCTTTCAGTTTTTCCTGACATGAATTGGTCTTCAAACACAGCCCTCAAAAAGTGAGAAAGAGTACAGTTTAAAAAAAAAAAATCAAAAGTAAGCCAGGAGCTGGTGGCTAATGACTATAATCCTAGCTACTCACGAGGCTGAGATCTGAGAATTGTAATTTGAAATCATCCTGGGCAGGAAAGTCTTATTGCCAATTAACTACTACAAAACTGGAAGTAGAGCTGTGACTCAAAGTGATAGAGTGCTAGCTTTGAGCAAAAAAGCTCAGGGTCAGCACCCAGGCCCTGAGTTCAAACTCCATGATTGACCAAAAAAAAATCGATATAGTATAATTATCATCATGATTTACTATCCTCAAGTGTTCAGAAATTTAACTCTTAGACTTTAGACAGTCAGCTACTTACCTCCCTGCTTTTTAGCCTTTCTATCCCTCCTTCCTTTCTTCCTTCTTTTCTTCCCTCCTTTCCTCCCTCCTTTTCCCCTAACTCTGTTTCTTCTTTTTTCTTTCAATACTAGGATTTAGCCTCACGCTTCCTAGGCACATTCTCCATTACTTGAGCTACATTCCCAGCCCGGTAGTTACTTTTAGAATAGGATGTCATGTTTGTTCTCAGGCTGGCCTGACCATGATCCTCCTATTACATTTCTTGTGTATCCAGGATGACAGGTGCATGCCACCACACTGGCATTAGCTTGGTTTATTCCTAACTGATCTTTTCCTTCCATTACCTTTTTTACCACAATCACTTTTGTTGTTGTTGTTTTGTTTTGTTTTTAGCATATCCATAGATCACATCAGACTGTAAGGTTAGGTTTACATTAGCCAATTTTATTATTTTTAGCAAACTGTATCTTTGTGTTTTCTTGTTTTTCTGTGTTCTAGACCACATTTAGATAAATGTTCATCATGCCTTTAAAAATCCCATATGTTGCCAGGTACTGGTGGCTCACATCTGTAATCCTAGCTACTCAAGAGGTGAAGATCTAAGGATCCTGGTTTGAAACCAGCCCGGGCAGGAAAGCCTGCATTATCTCCAATTAACTACCAAAAAGCCAGAAGTGGAGTGGTGAATCAAGTGGTTGAACACTAGTTCTGAGCAAAAAAACTCAGGGACAGCATCTAGGCCCTGAGTACTTGCCCCAGGACGAGCATCCCCCCACCCCCCCTACCCTCCCCTACCCCCCAAAAAAAGAAAAATCTTTTTTTGGGGCCCGGTTGTGGGGCTTGAACTCTGGGCCTGGGCGCTGTCCCTCAGCTCTTCAGCTCAAGGCTAGCGCTCTACCACTTGAGCTACAGCGCCACTTCTGGTTTTTTCTTTTTGTTTATGTGGTGCTGAGGAATCAAACCCAGGGCCTCATGCATGCAAGGCAAGCGCTCTATCACTGAGCCACCTTCCTAGCCCCAAAAAGAAAAATCTTACGTGCCAAGAATGCATGCTACTTTTATCTTTGCCTGCTATTGATGATTTGAATTTAAACCTTTACATGTTCTTGACTTTATATTCTTGGTTTTAAGACTTTAGATCTTTTATTTGTTTTCCACAGTGTGTTCAATACGAGTCATTGGTGAGAGTGATATCATGCAGGAATTCCTGTCAGAATCAGATGAGGTAGGTGAAAACTCTTCAACTACTATTTTTATCATAGTTCCATATGGGAAAAAAATAAATCAAAGGTATTGATTATGAGTTGAATTGCAGTAAACTCCAAAGGACTCTAATTTTTCTGCTCCTAGTGCCAGGTCTACCTTTTCTTTGAATCCTTCTCTGATGACTCAGATCATTGATTTCTCATTCTACCAAGAACTTTTGTTTTTAGTATCAGCATATTACTGTCTCATTCTCTACCTGTCATCAGTTTGTCACTTTATATTTAGCTTACAAGACTATGAGTTACCTATAATAAGAACTAAGCCTTGATCATTTTTGTATTCCCAGTGCCTTACCTCAGTGTCAATCATATAAATAATAAATAGTAATTGAATAGATTGCCTGGGTAATGCCAACATTTTATTTGTTAATTATTTCATATGCATATGTATTATTTTCCTGGCTAGAGTTTAAGTGTCTTGCAGACAGGGGTTATGGTAAAGTACAGTAGCTTGCTTCCCTACTCCTCCTACCCCCTTATCCATAGTTATAGTTTTCACAGTCTTGGTTAACTGCACTTAACTATGGTCTTAAAATATTAAATATAAAATTAAAGAAAACAAACAATTCATGAGTTTCAAATTATATGGCATTCTGAGTAGCTGTCCCACTCAGAACCTGAATCATCTTTTGTCTAACATATCTACTCTGTATAACTGTACTGCCTGTTAGTCACTTAGTAGCCAGACCAGTTACTGGATTGACTATGCTGGTATCACAGTGCTCATATTCAAAGAACTACCTGTTTACTTAAATTCATTTTTGCTTGTACTGAGGTTTGAATTCAATGTCTTGCACTCACCTGCTTTGCTTGGCTGCCACTTTCCCATTTGAGCTATACCACAAGCCCTGCATTTTGCTGGTCATTTTGGAGATGGAGCCTTGTAGACATCTACTCAAGCTGGCTTCTAATCAGTCTTTTGGATATCAGCCACCTGAGTAGCAGGGATTACAGATATGAGCCACTGGCACCTAGCTTCAATCACTATTCTTTTTATTTTACTTTTTTTTTTAAGTTTTGGAGGATTTATTTATTTATTTATGTATTTTGTTGGTCGTGGGGCCTGAACTCTGGGCCTGGGTGCTGTCCTTCAGCTCTTCAGCTCACAGTGAACGTTCTACCACTTGAGCCACAGCTCTACTTCCAGCTTTTTCTGCTTATGTGTTGCCGAGGAATCAACCTAGGGCCTCATGCATACTAGGCAAGCACTCTATCACTGAGCCACCTTCCCAGCCATAGTTTTGGAGTTTTAAAAACTACTATGATTGTTGTTACATACTAGTTATAAAGAAAACAGTTTCATTAGCCAGACGCCGGTGACTCATGCCTGTAATTTTAGCTACTCAGGAGGCTGAGATCTGAGGATCGCGGTTCAAAGCCAGCCTGGGCAGGAAAGTCCATGAGACTCTTATCTCCAATAAACCACTAGTAAATTGGAAGTGGCACTGTGGCTCAAGTGGTAGAGTGCTCGCCTTGAGCTGAAGAGTGCAGAGACAGTGTCTAGGCCCAGAGTTCAAGCTCCACCGACAAAGAAAAAAAAAGAAAACAGTTTCATTGTTACATCTCTACTCTTGTTTATATTGTATTTCAATCAATTTCACTTCCTTTGTCACTCATTCTTCCTCTTCCTCCCCCATAATGGCACCCTCACCTAGGTGGTGGTGGCTCACACCTGTAGTCCTAGCTACTCAGGAGGCTGAGAACTGAGGATGGCGATTCGAAGCCAGCCCGGGCAGGAAAGTCTGTGACACTCTTACCTCCAATTAATCAGAGAAAAAGCTGCAAGTGGAGCTGTGGCTCAAATGGTAGAGTACTAGCCTTGAGCATAAAGAGGCTCAGGGATAGCACTAAGTTCAAACCCTAGGACCAGCAAAAAAAATAATAGATAAATAAAAAATAGCACCCTCAACAAGTTTCTTTGTTTTGTTTTCATAGTTGCAAAAGAATCTATTTTAGCAATATTTAACAATATTTGGCCTCCTTTATCTTCCCCACCAGCCAACCCCCTCCTCCAAGTAACTCTTAATAATAACTCTAGATAATAGGAATAGCTATGCTAGCAACTCATATACCAATAGCTATGCTAGCAACTCATATACCAAAGAGGAGCCATAGAGTGTTTCCTTTAAGTTTAAAAGGTAAAAAAGTCAGGGGGAGGGGGTGGTGGAGAAAAAAAAAAAATTAAAAAATTTTTTTAAAAAAGGTAAAAGTCTTTACCAATAAGAAAAATCATATGCTGAGGTTGCTAAGACTTATGGTAAGATTTAATCTTGAATCTGAAAATTGTGAATAATAATAATAAAAGAATAATAATGCTAGTTTTACTATAGCACCTTAAAGTATAAAATTATAGCGTTTGCTACAAACGGCTCACACCTATAATCCTAGCTAAGATCTATCTCAAAAATAAATATGACCCTATCTCAAAAATAACCAGTGCAGGGGCTGGGAAGTTGGCTCAGTGGTAGAGCACTTGCCTTGCATGCTTGAGGCCCTGGGTTCGATTCCTCAGCACCACATAAGAAAAAAGCCGGAAGTGGCGCTGTGGCTCAAGTGGTAGAGTGCTAGCCTTGAGCTGAAGAGCTGAGGGACAGCGCCCAGGCCCAGAGTTCAGGCCCCACGACCGGACCCCAAAAAAAAAAAAATAACCAGTGCAGAAAAGGGCTGGAGGTGTGACTTAGTGGTAGACTGACTGCCTAGCAAGTATGAAGCCCTGGTTTTAAACCCCAGTACTGCCAAAAGAGGCAGGTCAGTGTTACAGCTATAGTGAATGTTAAGTACTTGGGGAAGGTGGGAGCCACATGCAATTACAGGGTTTAGTACTAGCCACACCTTCAGGCATCCACTGATTACCTTAGTAGGTAAATAGGAACTACTGTATTGCTTAGGATGCTTAGACAATGAATAGTAATTTTTCAGGTAGTAAATGAAAATGAAAATGGACTTATTCCTAGATAGTTGGTTCTTTCAGATAAAAATTAAAAGGTGAAAAAAATCCATTACAAAAATATGATAAGTTCCTTTTTGTTTTCTTTCTTTGTGGGGTTGTCATCGTCATCGTCGTCATTTCCCCCCGCCCCCCCATTCTGGACGTCAAATCTCATGGTAGACAGTCATTTTACCATTGAGCCATACTCCCAGCCCTAGTACTTAATTTGAATCAAAGAGATTAAGAGTTGTTTATTCTTTGCTGGAAGAAAATTGGCATTAGACTAGCTGACACCCCCTGAGTCTCATCCATTTTTCCTTTTAGAGATTTTTTTTCTGATTATTTCAGGAATAAGAAAGTAAGGATACCATTTGAAGCAATTTATATATCTAACCATTAAACCAGAGACCATTTGTAGGCATTGCTGCTTTCAGCTGTTTTCATTCTAATTTGTCAGTTCTGAATGGAGTGACAGAAGTGAACCAAAAATCTTATCTGGGTTTGACTTAGACCGTTCCATAGTTTTCTGTTTTGAAATGGGAGCATGTTGACTTCAATATGTTTCTTTTTTCCCCTGTTCATTTTAAAGGTTAACTTCTGCTGCAGCCTAAAGTCAACTTTATGTCTTATAAATATATTGACTTTTAAGATTTCATTTCCCCTGTATTCATTGGAACTCATTTCTTCTCTATCACATAGTAGATGTTGTTCAGCTAGCATGTTATCTGGAGAGTGAAGATTTACTGGATCACAAATTCTTTGTGTTTTTCCCCTTAGAACTACAATGGTGTGTCTGATGTAGAGCTGAGGGTAGCATTACCAGATGGAACAACAGTTACAGTCCGAGTTAAAAAGAACAGTACTACAGACCAGGTGTATCAGGTAAATTAAACTTGAATAATTTGGCTTGATATTATACGATGTGAAGCTAAGAAAGATACATTAAATGAGTTAGCACATATAATGTCCTTTTGTAGTACCTAGCATACAAGAAGTTTCTTAAATTGCTATTAATATGAAAGTACTTTACCCTCCTCAAACAATGAGTAATACATATTCCAAGGTGTAGTGGTTATAATTAACTTTTCCTTTTTTATTATAAACTTTATGATACACATAAAAACAGAATAATAGTATAATGATTTCCACATTTTGTGTGTGTGTGTGTGTGTGTGTGTGTGTGTGTGTGTGTGTATTAAACCAAGGCCTCACATATGCTAGTCAGGCCATTTACTACTGAGCCATATCCTTAGCTCTAATATTTAATAATTATAGCTGGGTGCCAGTGGTTCATGCCTATAATCCGAGCTACTCAGGAGGCTGAGATCTTAAGATTGCAGTTCAAAGCCAGTCTGTGCAGGAATCTGTGAGAATCTTTTTTTTTTTTTTTTTTGGTCAGTCATGGAGCCTGAACTCTGGGCCTGGGCACTGTCTGTCCCTCAGCTCTTCGGTTCAAGGCTAGCGATTTACCACCTGAACCACAATGCCACTTCTGGCTTTTTCAGCTTATGTGGTGCTGAGGAATCGAACCTAGGGCCTCATGCATGTAAGGCAAGCACTCTACCACTGAGCCATCTTCCCAGCCCTCTGTGAGACTCTGATCTCCAACTTACCACAAAAAGCCAGAAGTGGCTCTGTGGCTCAAGTGGTAGAGTGCTACCTTGAGGAAAAGCTTAGGGACAACACCCCAGTGCTGAGTTCAAGCCCCAGTACCAGGACAACAAATAAATGAATTAAATATATAAATAAATAAAACCAGGCCTGAAATAATCTCAGCTTCTTGGGAATTGAAAGCAGGAGAACAGTGAATTTGAGGCCAGCCTGGGCAAAGGTAGCAGAGAGATCCTCTCTCAAAAAGGGGACTTGGGTTGAAGAAATGGCTCAAGTGGTAGAGGGCCTAACTAGCAAATGTGAAGACCCAAGTTCAAATTCCAGTTCTGCCAAAAAAGAAAAAAATCCTGAGGGCATACCGCAGGGTTAGAACACCTACTTAGTGTAATTTCCTAGTATACTCAGGGCCCTGGGTTCAATCCCCAGTACCCAAAGAATAAGTAAATAAATCACAATAAGTGAGTAAGTAACTAACTACTTAAATAAAAACAAAGAATCCAAGTATAATCCTTAGGTCTTAATGACCTATGTTAAATATAGGCAGAATATGTGAAACGATATTTAACAATTTTTTGTTGTTGTTGTTTTTGCCAGTCCTGGGGCTTGAACTCTGGGCCTGGTCTCTGTTCCTGAGCTTCTTTTGCTCAAGGCTAGCACACTACCACTTGAGCCATAGGGCCACTTCCAGCTTTTTCTGAATAGTTTTTTTTTTTTTTTTGGTCGGTCATGGGGCTTGAACTCTGGGCTTGGGCACTGTCCCTCAGCTCTTCAGCTCAAGGCGAGCGCTCTACCACTTGAGCTACAGCGCCACTTCCGGTTTTCTGGTGGTTTATTGGAGATAGGAGTCTCACGGTCTCTCCTGCCCGGGCTGGCTTTGAACCGCGATCCTCAGATCTCAGCCTCCTGAGTAGCTAGGATTACAGGCGTGAGCCACCAGCGCCCGGCATGAATAGTTTATTGTAGATAAAAGTCTCACAGACTTTCCTGCCTAGACTGGCTTTGAACCCTGATCTTCAGAACTCAGCCTCCTGAGTAGCTAGGATTACAGGTGTGAGCCACCAGCACCTGGCTGTTTTCTTCTTAACATCTGTGCTAGCAAGCACTTTTCTTGCAAGTGGTGTCAAAGACCTTTATATAAAAAACTTTATGTAAAACATAGCTTTTTGGGTCATGTACAGAGGGTTTCCCCCCTACTTAAGTATGCATGTGTGCACGTACACTTATGAAGCCAAAATGTCAAACTGTCTGTCTTTACCCTCACCTCTACATGCATATACTTGCCTTTTCCCACAGTGATGTCTGATTTACTTGTCCTGAATCATTCTATGCTGTTTAAACTTTAGGCTATTGCAGCAAAGGTTGGCATGGACAGCACAACAGTGAATTACTTTGCCTTATTTGAAGTGATCAATCATTCCTTTGGTAAGTTCTAGTAGCTATTAAGTTTTGTTTTGAGGCCCTTTTATTCTAATACTGTTGGGTAGAAACTATTTTTTCCAAAGAAGTGCTTGAAGACAAGGTAAGATCCCACTCTTTGGGACTGTCTCTAACAAGCAGAGCAGGCAGATCCTGGGAAACCTGGTCATAAGGATGCCTGATCACTCTAGGTTCTTTTTCTTTTGTCAGTCTATATAGGTTATACCCAGTTCAGGATCACATAGTTTCTTGGTTTTTGTTTTTTTGGGGGGTCCAGTCGTGGGGCCTGAACTCTGGGCCTGGGCACTGTCCTTCAGTTCTTGCTCAAGGCTAGGACTCTACCACTTGAGCCACAGCGCCACTTCTGGCTTTTTCTTTTTGCTATGTGGTGATGAGGAATCGAACCTGGGGCCTCATGCATGTAAGGCAAGCACTCTACCACTGAGCCACCTTCCCAGCCCCAGGATCACATAATTTCTTGAGATTTTTTTTTTTGTTTTTTGGCCAGTCCTGGGCCTGAACTCTAGGCCTGAATGTTGTCCCTTAGCTCTTCAGCTCAAGGCTAGTGCTTTACCACTTAAGCCACATCACCACTTCTGGCTTTTTCTGCTAATGTGTTGCAGAGGAATCGAACCCATGGCCTCATGCATGCAAGGCAAGCACTCTACAACTGAACCATTTTCCCAGCCCCTTGAGTTGGTTTTTTCTTGGGTCCGGTTGTGGGGCCTGAACTCTGGGCCTGGGCACTGTCCCTCAGCTCTTCAGCTCAAGGCTAGTACGCTACCACTTGAGCCACAGCACCACTTGCGGCTTTTTTTTTTCTGCTTATGTGGTGCTGAGGAATCGAACCCAGGGCCTCTGGCATGCAAGGCAAGCACTCTACCACTGAGCCACCTTCCCAGCCCTTGAGTTGGTTTTTTAAATAAGAGATTCAAAATTCATATATTACAATGAAACAGCTTTAAAGGGAATGTTCTATTTAGCCACATGCAGTCAAGGTAGGGTACTTAATGCTTTTTGTAAAGCTTTTTTAGAATACCTTTTTTTGTTTTCAGAAGTTAGAAATATATTTAAAAGCTTTTCTTTTAATGTTCATATTTAAGTTGCTGTGTAAATAGGTTTCTTTTTTTTTTTTCTTTCTTTCTTTTTTTTTTTTTGCCAGTCCTGGGGCTTGAACTCAGGGCCTGGGCACTGTCCCTGAGCTTTTTTAGCTCCAGGCTAGCACTCTACCACTTAAGCCACAGTGCCACTTCTGGCTTTTTTCTGTTTATGTGGTACTGAGGAATTGAACCCAGGGCTTCATGCATGCTAGGCAAGTACTCTACCACTAAGCCACATTCCCAGCTCCTGTGAATAGATTTCTTCTCCCTGAAACACTTTATTACAAGGTAACAGGAAGTTTCTTTTTTATTTTATAGAAGCTGGGAGTGATATCATAGTCACATTGGTTGTATTGAAACCACACAAGGGAGGTTTCAGTGCAACCAAGGGCTTGCTCTGAATGATAGAGATTTCCAGTAGTTTATGGGTCTCTTCCATATCATATATGCACAGGGCCAGCACAAGACATAGCAGATAATATTGGCTGGTGGTTAGATTTTCCTCATCTCAGAATGAGGAAAGCTTGGGAGGTTTCAGTAGCTTTGCCTTTTCGAGGACAAGGTAGAATAACTTTCAATTCCCCTGAAGCAACTAACTATTATTTTTCTTCCTAACGCAACAGCCTAATAGGCAGGTATAAATTGTTCTGCAAAAGATTAGTAAGGTACTAGGATACTCAGATTCTAATCTTATCCATTTCTAACCATTAATTTCATTTTCTATAAAATGAGAAATATTAAATCTGTCTCTTTCAGTGTTACAAAACCATGTAAAAAGCATTAGGAGGAAAACTCAGTAAAGGTAATATTGAAATTAAAAGTGGTTAGTGAAGTGTGATGATGGCTGCCTATAATCACTAGAATTTAACTTGGGAGAACATGAATTCAAAACCAACTTGAACTACATAGTAAGACCCTGTCTCAAAAAGAAAAAAATGTAATTCCAGTTACTTGGGAGGCCAAGATAGGAAGATTGTTATTCCAGGCCAGCTAGCTGAGGCAAAGAGTTAGTGATACCCCGTCTCACAGAATAATTTGGAATCAAGTGCCAGTGGCTCATATCTATAATATTAGGTCCTTGGGGGTCTGAGGTCTGGAGAGTCATAGTCAAAGCTAGCCTAAATAAAAACATTCACAAGGGCTGGGAAGGTGGCTGAGTGGTAGAGCGCTTGCCTTGCATGCCTGAGGCCCTGGGTTTGATTCCTCAGTACCACATAAGCAAAAAGAAAAAAGCCGGAAGTGGTGCTGTGGCTCAAGTGGTAGAGTGCTAGCCTTGAGCTGAAGAGCTGAGGGACAGTGCCCAGGCCCAGAGTTCAGGCCCCACAAGCGGACCCCAAAAAAAAAAAAACAACAAAAAACAAAAAACCATTCACAAGATCCTTTCTCAGCCAGTAGCTGAGTGTAGTAACCCATGCCTTTCATCCTAGCTACCCGAGAGACTGAGATTTGAAGGATAGTGGTTCTAGGCCAACTTGAGCATCAAAGTCCTCCACACTGCCTCTCAGTGGAAGAAGCTGGGTACTGTGACATGTGCCTGTCATCCCAATTATAGCAGGATCACAGGTCCAAGTATGTGTCCAGACTGGAAGTGAGATCCTATCTCAAAAGTAACCAGTGCAAAAAAAAATGAGACTGGATGCTTGGCTCAGAGGTAGAGCACCTGCCTAGCAACTGTGAGGCCATGAATTCAGACCCAACTACTGCCAAAAGAAAAAGAAGAAATTAAACATGAGGTTGTTTTATTTTTCTGTATGATGTTAGGAAGAAGTAACCTAAGAATATATGTTAACTGTGATGCCTTATGTTTTCTGGAGTAGGTAGAAAAAGCCTTTGAGCTCTTCATAATAAAAACTGTTTATTGAAAAGAGCCTCAAGAAAGACTCTAAATGCCCAATAGGTAGATAAGGGGAGATTTGCTTTGAAGTTATTTAGTGTCTATTAGCTATAATTAACTGGATCATGGGTCAAGATTATTCTCTTTTTTTTTTGCATTTGTGGTCTTTACAACCTTTATGTTAACTTAAGGACCTACCACTCAATTGATAGATTTTACTTTCTACTCACTTTGAGGCTTGACTGACCATAGTCATAGTTAGAAGGGATAAATTTGGCTATACACATGGTTATTTTGTGCTCCTATATAACCACTCCCTGAAGAATTTGAGCTGATGCTCTAGATATGCTAACCTACTGTTCTTGATCTGCCTTGCATAGCTTATATAAGAGAAACTTCTTATATGCCTTTTCACTCCAGTGTTCTCTATTCTGTCTTCTTTAGTACGTAAGCTGGCACCTAATGAATTTCCTCATAAACTCTACGTCCAGAATTATACATCTGCTGTGCCAGGCACCTGCCTGACAATTCGAAAGTGGCTTTTTACAACAGAAGAAGAAATCCTCTTAAATGACAATGACCTTGCTGTTACCTATTTCTTTCATCAGGTGAGTAAATTGCTAAACCTAAAAGACCTGGTTTCTTTTTCTGTTTGTATACCGTTGGTAATTTACCAATTTTGTGTGGATCCTTTAGTCTGAGTTACATTTGTAAAGTGTTGTATCCCATTTTACATAAGATATATAAATGGTAGCGATATCCTGGAGTTTCAAACACTATTTTAATTTTTAAAATATTTTTATTATTATAAAGGTGATGTACAGAGGTATACTTTAATTTTTAACAAAAAAGCATTATATTTTATGAATATTACAGATGTTGTGTGTCCGCTAAAAACAAGGTGTCTGGGTTTTGTTCTTGTTGGGGGGGGGGGGTGTTTTTAGGCTCTTTAAAAAATTGTTATAAAGGTGATGTAAAGAGTGGTTACAGTTACATAAGTCAGGTAATGAGTACATTTCTTTGGACAATGGTTACCCTCTTCCTCACTCTCCCAGTTTTTCTCTCCCATGCCACTCACAAATTGTTCATTTTCAACATATTGTCTAGTGAGTACCACTGCAGTGTGTTTTTCCTCTGTTCTCAAGCCATAATCAAGACTTCTGTGACCTCATAAGGTATGGGATTTCTCCCCACCAGCAAGCAAGCAATTTTAAGTGGATACAAGCTGGTCATTGTCTTAATTTAGTTCTGACACTATTTTCTTTTTTTTTTTTTTGGTCCAGTCCTGGGCCTGAACTCTGGTCCTGGGCGCTGTCCCTCTGCTCTTCAGCTCAAGGCTAGCCCTCTGCCACTTGAGCCACAGTGCTATTTCTGGCTTTTTTTTTTCTGCTTATGTGGTGCTGAGGAATCGAACCCAGAGCCTCATGCATGCAAGGCAAGTGCTCTCCACTGAGCCACCTTCCCAGCCCCAGTTTTGACACTATTTGAAACTTGTGACCTGGCTACAAGTTGAAGTTGCCATTTTTCCTTCTGGTTTGAATAATTTTCTAGAGCAGCTCAGAGAACTCAAAGGACTACTTTACTTAACACTTACTACTTTACTATTAAGGATATTTTAGAGGATACAAATCATCAAGAAGTAGCAGAGATACTGGAAAGACTTGAGGCACAGGACCTTCCATCCCCTTGGAGCTGACTGTACCACATTCTTACAGATGAGTTTCTATTTGCCTTCTTGCAAACTTTCATTCACATATTTAGCAGTCTTTAGTCCAGGAACTTCCAGAACCTTATCCTTTTGTATTTTGTATTTATTTTATAGACTTTATTGCATGAGTATGACTGAAGTATAAACAACCATGTTGAAGTATGATTGGGTGTGGAAGAAATAACTGTATTGCAAAGCTCATAGAACTCATAAATGTTTTTTGTTTTTTTGGGGGGGTCCGGTCGTGGGGCCTGAACTCTGGTCCTGGGCACTGTCCCTCAGCTCTTCAGCTCAAGGCGAGCACTCTACCACTTGAGCCACAATGCCACTTCCGGCTTTTTTCTTTTTGCTTATGTGGTGCTGAGGAATTGAACCCAGGGCCTCATTGCATGCAAGGCTTGCTCTACCATTGAGTCAACTTCCCAGCCCCAGAACTCATAAATGTTATAGACTGTGATAGACAATTTGCTCCAGGAAAGTTAGAATGTGTTTGTGACTTTAACTGAGCATCACTATCCCACAAAACTGTGAAATTTGGGAAATGATGTAACCACTTAATCACAATAAAAAATGTGAAAAAAATGAAAAAAAATAAAAACATTACTAGGTTAAAAAAAAAAAGAAATATGGGCTGGGAAGGTAGCTCAGTTGTAGAGTGCTTGCCTTGCATGCATGAGGCCCTGGGTTCAATTCCTCAGTACCATATAAGAAAAAAGAAGAAAGCCGGAAGTGGCGCTGTGGTTCAAGTGGTAGAGCACTAGCCTTGAGCTGAAGAGCTGAGGGACAGTGCCCAGGCCCAGAGTTCAGGCCCTACAACCGGACCCAAAAAAAAAAAAAAGAAATATGATTGGGCAAAAAAAGGTATGATGTGATGGTAGCCAGCAAGGACTGTTCAGTTTCTTCTTGGCCTCTCTCTGCAGTACTTGTTCCTGGTAGGCATAAGGCAGTATTCTTTTTAAAATGGGAGCTTTATTATCAGAATTTTATCGTGGCCAGTTCCAGGACAATAAGGCAGGAGATTAGAGTATATTTTTAGTTTCTGTAACATACTTTGTATTTACTTCCCATGTCTCTCTTATATTTGGTTATAGTGTTCCTATTTAATTGTTCAGATTTCCACAATATCTTTTTAATTTCCCAGTATCAAAGGTAGGACACTAGTTCTCCTCTTCCCCCATTCCTACCACATACCCATATTCTTTTCATTTCTCCTCCCTTTGATAGAGTCAGATTATATTTGTTCAGTCATTCAGTGCTTACATGACTATGACACTAAATAAATTTACAGCTGAGATAATAAATACTGTCTTTTTCATTCTTTTATATCATTTTGATTTTCCTCTAATAGGTTTACCCCTTTTTCATTTAGCTTAGTCTGTTTAGTATTTACAGTTTTTCGGCTCTATACTCTTTCTAGTTGTTTCAGTCTACTCTAAGTACGTTCAAATCCATCTGATATTTCAGCAGATTCCATTTTCAGAAGAAATCTCTTTGGAGCCTTTTGTCCAATCTCAGTCTAAACTGGTGGCCTGCACTTAGGTATACAGCTTTGTCCTTGGGTTGCTTTGCACCATCACCAACAGGGATATCCTGTTTCTAGTGTTCGGATATGTGTCCTTTTTCTTTTTTTCCTTTACTCCCTTAGTTTGGGAGAATATATCCTCAGAGTCTTTCAAGAAAAGAAGGTATATAGAAGATTACCGTAAATGTCTGAAGATGTCTTCACACTTGATGTTAGGGTTAGGTACAGAATTCTAGCTTAAACTTATTTTCCTTCTTTCTTTCTCTTTTTTCTGTGTCAGTCCTGCAGCTTGAATTCAGAGCTTGGGCATTGTCTGCACTTTACCACTTGAGCAATAGCTCCACTTCTGGCTTTTTTTGTTGGTTAATTGGAGGTGAGAGGATTACAGGTGTGAACCACCAGTGCCTGGCTCTTCCTTCTAAAATTTTAAAGTATTATTTTCTGGTTTTCAGTATTGCTGTTAGGAAGTCTGAAGCCATTCTTATTTTTGTCATTTATGTGATCTCTTTTCTTTCCTTAAGTTTATAAGATTGATAGTCTTTATTGATCTCAAATTTTACAGTCATGTGCCTTGCTAAGGATTTATTTTTACTTACTATGTTGGCCCTTCTGTGGAAAATTTGTGCCTTTTCTGATACGTCAGATTTTGTTGTTGGTGGTGGTGGTCATGGGACTTGAACTCAGGTTCTGAGTGCTGTCCTTGAACTTTTTCACTCAAGCCTAGTGGGCCACAGTGCCACCTCTGGTTTTCTGGTAGTTAATTGGAGATTATAGACTTTCCTGCCCAGGCTGGCTCCAAACCATGATCCTCAAATCTCAGCCTCCTGCGTAGCTAGAGTTACAGGTATGAGCCACTAGATCCCAGCCTGTCTGAATTTTAAAGTTATTAAATTGATAACTTCTAATCTTTTATTTTCTTTTCTCTTTTCGAACTATTTTGATATCAGATTTCTTTGTATATGCTGTCATTTTCTCATCTTCTCCCATTTTAATTTTCTTTGCCTTCTTGCTCTACTTTCTAGAAGACTAGATTTCTAGATTTAGCTTCTGGCCCTTAATTATTGAGTTTTTTATGTAAACTTTTTAGTTTCTAAAGGCTTTCTTTTGTTGTCAGAATATCCTTTTTATATGCAATATTTGATTCTTGTTTTGTGGCTATAATATTTTTAACTTCTGGAGAATATTAAAAAATAGCATTTTTTAAAAATTAGGGGTGGTGGTACATGCCTGTAAATTTGAACACTCCGAAGGCAGCAGCTGGATGAGTTTGATGTCAGAGCAAGACATTTCTCAAAAAACAGCAACAAATCTTAACATTTTGTCTTAGCATACATTAGTTATACAAGAGAGAATAGTTGGAGGATGTTCGTTATGTTTCTATAGCATGGGTACAATGGACCCCATCAACCTTGACCCTTTATCACTCTCCATTATTCCTTCTTTACCATTTTTTAGAATATTTTCAAAACAGTCCATTGAGCGGGGGGAGAGAGGAGTTGGGGAAGTGGGGAGGGAAGGGATGATGGTAGGGGAAAAACAAAGGAGGGGGCAACAATGCTGGAAAGGAAATGTACTCATTACCTTACTCATGTAACTGTAACCTCTCTGTACAGTATCTTTACAATAAAAAAAAAATAGTTCATTGTACTGGTTTGTGTGTGTGTGTGTGTGTGTGTGTGTGTGTGTGTGTGTGTGTGTGTGTGTGTGTGTGTGTTTGTGTGTGTGTGGTAATAGTTTTTTTTTTTTTCTTCCCAGTCCTGGGTCTTGAACTCAGGTCTTAAGCACTGTCCATGAGCTTCTTTTGCTCAAGGCTAACACTCTACCACTTGAACTATAGTACCACATCCAGCTTTTTTTGTGTATGTGATACTGAGGAATTGAACCCAGGGCTTCATGCATGCTAGGCAAGCACTCTACCACTAAGCCACATTCCCAGCCCTCAGACTCAGTTTTGAACAAGCCAGGTAAGGAAGCTGTATGCTGATGGCTCAGGCCTGTAATCCTAGCTACTCAGGAGGCTGAGATCTGAGGATCATGGTTCAAAGCCAGCCTGGGCAGGAAAATCCATGAAACTCATCTCCAGTAAACCATCAGAAAACCAGAAGTGGTGCTGTAACTCAAGTGGTAGAGCGCTCACCTTGAGCTGAAGAGCTGAGGGACAGCGCTTAGGCCCAGAGTTCAAGCCCCATGACTGACAAAAAAAAAAACAAAAAAACAAAAAGCAAAAAAACAAAGAAAGAATTTGAAATAGGGAACAAAATGTTATGTATAAAGAAGTTCACTGCAGCAATGCTGCACTGTGGCTCAAGTGGTAGAGCATTCACCTTGAGCAAAAGAAGCTCAGGGACAACATTCAGGCCCAGTTCAAGGCCCATGACTGGCAAAAGAGAGGGGGGAGGGTTGGGAGGGGGTTATAGAAGGATAATAAATAATTGCTTAAAGTTTTTTTTTGTTTTTTGTTTTTTGTTGGTTGTGGGGCCTGAACTCTGGCCTGGACACTGTCCCTCAGCTCTTCAGCTGTAGACTAGCACTCTACCACTTGAGCCTCAGCCCCACTTCTGGCTTTTTTTGCTTATGTGGTGCTGAGGACTCGAACCGAAGGCTTCATGCGTGCAAGGCAAGCACTCTACCTACCACTGAGCCACCTTCCCAGCCCCTTGCTTAAAGTTTTTAAAAATAGCTACTTCAGTATGAAGTTTTGGGGTAAGGAGACTGCTATTTTTATTAAGGAGTTTTGGGCAATAGTTTTATTTTCAGCAATGTGCATCTTTTATTTCTTTTTTGCTGCCAGTCCTAGGGCTGAACTCTGGGCTTTGGCACTGTACTTGAGCTTTTTTTCACTCAAGGCTGGCATTCTACCACTTGAGCCACAGCTCTACTTTTGGCTTTTTGGTGATTAATTGAAGATAAGAGTCCCAGGGACTTTTCTGCCTGGGCTGGCTTCAAACCATGATCCTCAGCTCTTAGCCTCCTGAGTAGCTAGGATTACAGGTATGAGCCACCAGTGCCCAGTCATGCATCTTTAATTGAATAAATTTTAGATGTTTATTTTTCTGTTTAGTGATAGTTAAGCAATATAATCGTGATTTGAAATGAAAGAGACAAGCATTTTTCTGCCTGCTGTACAAGAACTCTTAGGGTTTCCCAAGCAGGTAATCAACTCTTGACTAACCACTACCTTGGGGAAATGTTCATGAAATGTTTAAGTGGTATGAGACAGACACTATTTTAGGTTCTAAGGATTTAAACAAAAAGAAATATAGTATTTTTACTTACATATATTTTTATTTGATGTAGTTCAAATGGTAGAGTGCCACCTTTGGTCAAAAAACCAAGTTAGTTAAATATCACTTTAAGTGATATTATCTTCAAGGGATCAGTTTCAGGACACGCCCCCTTAACTCCCTTCCTCATAGATAAATCAAATCTGAGATACTGTATTCAAATCCTTTTATAACTAGGTCATATTATTTTCATATAAACTATTCATTTCTTCCTTTAAGTCATCTGTAAATGACTCATTTGTCACAATGTAAGTATTATATAGTTATATTTATATATTATACATATAAGGTATAACACATGTTATATGTTATATTATATGTATAATATATAAATATATATTATATTGTATTTAGAGAATAATGATCAAAAAAGTCTAATTATGTTCAGTATAGATAAGCCACTGGTGCCCAGCATATGCCAGCTTTTTGTTGTTATTGTTGGTTGTGGGGCTTGAACTCAGGGCCTGGGCACTGCCCCTGAGCTCTTTTGCTCAAGGCTAGCACTCTACCGACCCTGAGCTCAAGGCTAGTACTCTACCAATTTGAGCCACAGCTCCAGTTCTAGTTTTTTTTGTTGTTGTTTGTTTTGTTTTGCTTTGACTAGCACCAAACCCATAATCCTCAGATGTCAGCCTCCTGAGCAGCTACCATTACAGGTGTGAGCCACTAGTGCCCAGCTCCAGCTTTTTAATAATTGGTTTAAATGTGCTCTAGAGCAGCACAGACTTTTGGTAATAGGTAGCTAAGTGTTCAAGTACATCAGGACATTGCATAACAGTTCTTACTGAGCATACTTTCTGCACATATAATCCTTCGTGCCTAAGCGAACCCATTGGTATGGCCAGGTACAGAGCAAGGTATCATCTTTCCATTTGACAGTCTCTAACAAGACAATAATTTCTCTGTGGTTCTTAGAAGAATTGAACAGCTAAATTATATCAATAACCATGATACTAGTAATAGCAAACAATTTAAAAGACACTAACATCTAAGATAAGTATTGTTCCTGTTTCATAGTAATGTTTAAGTGACTGATTTCTCTAAGTCCACATTGGTAAGGGATAGAGCTAGAAATTGAACTAATGTCTTAACTTCAATCTTGAATTGTTGGGCATCCAACTATATTTCTCTTTTAAAAAAAGCCAAGCACCAATGGCTCACACCTGTAATCCTAGCTATATAGGAAACTATGACCTGGAGTATTAAGATTTGAAGCCAGCCTGGGCAAAAAGTCTGTGAGATCTATCTCCAAAATAACAAGGCTAGCTGGGCACCAGTGGTGCACACCTATAATCCTAGCTACTCAGGAGGTTGAGATCTGAGGATTGCAGTTCAAAGCCAGCCCAGGCAAGAAAGTCTGTGAGACTCTTGCCTCCCCAATAAAAGCCACCAGAAGACTGGAAGTGGCTCTGTAGCTCAAGTGGTAGAGCGCTCGCCTTGATCTGAAGAGCTCAGGAACAGATTCCAGGCCCAGAGTTCAAGTCCCATGACTGACAAAAACAACAAGAACAACAAAATAAGGCTGGAGACGTAGTTTAAGTGGTACGATACCAGCTAAGCAGGTGTAAAGCCAAGTTCAAACCCTAGTAATAATCCCCCAACCGGAACAAAAGAAAGACTCCAAGCATTCTCAAGGCTAAAGTAGAAGGATCATGAGTTCATGTCCAGTGTGGGCTATTTAGGAATTTCAAGCCAGCCTGAATGAGATACTGTCTTTCCAAAATTATTAGTATTAGTGTGTGTGTGTGTGTGTGTGTGTGTGTGAGAGAGAGAGAGAGAGAGAGAGAGTGTGCATGCGTGTGCATGCACCTGTGCTTACTGGTCCTGGGAATTGAACTCAGGGCCTAGGCACTGTCTCTGAGCTTCTGTGCTCAAGGCTAGCATTCTACCTCTTGAGCTACAACTTTACTTCCACCTTTTTGGTGGTTAATTGGAGATAAGAGTCTATGAACTTTCCTGACAGGGCTGCCTTCAAACCATGATCTTCAGATCTCAGCCTCTTGAGTAACTAGGATTACAGGTGTGAGATGTTGGTGCCTGGCAATACTGCCTTTAAAAAAAAAAAAAGACTGGGAAATGATTTTTACATCCTTGATCTCCTCGTCTTAATTTATTTAGCATCATTTTTTTATTACTTCTCTTAGGTCCCTGCTTAAGTCAAAATTCCTGTGCCTGTTTTTAGAATCCTTTAATATAATCTGTTATTAGCCTGTGTATCCAGCATTATCTTCCGTTCCTCTCACATTAATCCTTTATTTGCATGACTTGTCCTGTTTCCTGATTGTATTTAAGTTTAAATCCATTCTTGTTTCTTGACTTCAGTGTGTAGTTTTTCTCATTTAACCTATCTTTTGGAGGCATGCCCAAGGCTTCCATTATAACTATAGTTAGCAATAAGTACTCATGTTCTGATTTCATATGTCACATATTAACGGTACATATTTGCTACTTATTGCCTTTAATACACTATTATATACTGTCTTCAGTGCTTACTAATTGTTTTCACATGTTTACATTTATCAGAATTCAAGTCTCTTGACAAGAGAAACCAGATGCACGCATACTTAAAATAATCCGTAAATACATAGCAGATACTAGTGAATCTAATAAATATGCTTGTGTGGCAGAGTTCATTGTGATGATACTGGTAGTCCCTTGGATACAAGTTCTTCTGAAAATGTGTTCATTTTTCATTTTTCTCAAGATAAATACATGATAATAATGTTTACATTCCCTTCTTCCCTGCCTTTGTTTTGGTAATAGGCAGTTGATGATGTAAAGAAAGGTTACATCAAAGCAGAAGAAAAGTCTTACCAATTGCAGAAGCTATATGAACAAAGAAAAATGGTCATGGTAAGTTTATATCCTTAATACTTTCTTTTAATATCCTTTTTTGCCTTAAACTTGTTCTAATCATTTTTTTTCCTGATTATTTCTGAAAAGTATTACTGCCAGGTCAGTGGCTTAAATGTGTGTGTGTGTGTATATGTGTGCGTGCGTGTGTGCGTGTGTGTGCATGCGCATGTACACGCCAGCACTGCGTGGGGTCAGAACTCCAGGACTCATGCTTTTGTTCAGCTTTTTCACTTATGGTTGTCACTCTACCTCTTGAGCTACAGCTCTACTTCTGGATTTTGCTAGTTAAATTAGAAGTCAGAATCTCTTAAGATTTATTCTGCATGGGCAGACTACAAACTTCAATTCTCAGGACTCAACCTCCTGAGTAGGTAGGATTATAGGCATGAGCCACAGTCATCCAGCTTTTAAGTAACTTTTAAAAAAGAGACATAGACTTCCGGACCAAGATGGCGACGGGGCAGTAGGGAAAAGCAGAAACGCCACAGCTCTCTCCAACCAAAAAGAGAGTTCGAGTTCCAACGCTTAATCTCCCCAAGAGACCGACAACAACAAAAAGACGAACACTCAGAGAAAAATCAGAGGTGGAAAATAACAAAAAAAGAAAGAGAGGAAAAGAAGAAATTCAGAACAGAGAAGAGCGAAGACCCCTCCCCCAACCTTTACTGGCCGCGCGGCAGTGCGCCAAGCCGCCGGCCAGCCGGCCCGGCGGGGGCTGCCGGAGCCACAGAGACACAGGGGGCTGCATGCAGATCACTAGGTACCGGATTGCAGAACAGCGGATCGCCAGGAACAGAGAAACCTACCAGCCGGGAGTCTCCACGAGGATCCCACCCCCACCCCTCACTCTCCACCGGAGCGGAGAGGCTCCATACCGCCAAAGCCGCCCGGCACCAGCAGCGCGACGAAGGGACCTGCCCGCAGACCACCCGCCCAATCGCGATCGCAACGACCAGGCAGGGGCCACCCAACCCAGCCCGCAACCACCCCAACTGAACTCGGATTGCAACAACAACTGACGACCTACTGGGTGAGTACCCCACAGGGGACAGTGAATCCATCAAGGGAGACCAGAGCTGGAGGGAATCCCCAGACCCTGACCTAGACTCCCTACCCCAACACCTGGACCACAGGACCCACTAAAACTGGGAACTGTTCGAGAGCTCCACCAGCCAGTGGAGCACACTCTGCTGGCCAGGCCAGAGCAAGAGCGCCCCTGGAAGGGAGCTTAAATGCCCAAGCCAGGAACAGCGCCCCTGGGTCAAGACTACCAACAGTAGAAGAAATTTGAACTGTGTCCTCCAGGCTGCATAACCTAGGTGGTATACACATTAGCACAGGCCTAACGAGCGCGCTCCAGGCTGGGGCCGGAACCAGGCCCGGGGACCGGCGCCTGAACAAAGCAAAAAGGGTCAGAAGTGGGGCTGTGGCTCAAATGGTAGGGTGCCAGCCTTGAGCTGAAGAGCTGAGGGACAGCACCCAAACCTAGAGTTCAAGCCCACAACCAGCCCAAAACAAACAAACAAAAACAAATCAGGAGCCCATAGCAGACTCCAGTATTTGGGAGAGTGCATCCAGAGCATCTGATCTTCCCAAGAGCACCCGCAGGAGCAAACACAAGCAGTCTAGGCTGCTCAACCCTTCCAAAGGCGGGAATTGCCAGCAATCTACAGCAGAGAGCTGAGAATCCTAAGTAAGTCAGAATAGCAGCTGGAAATAGGCTCCCAACAAAATCCAGATCAGGCACAGACTCTCTCTACCAATACAGAATCAGCAACCAAACAAAGACAGACACACCAAAACAAGATTGAAGAGCAGTCTCCTGAACCCCCATGCGAAAATCACAGAGAAAAATCACAAGGTTTACCACTACCCAGGACAGCAAGCTCACCTCAAAAGCCAGCAGCCACGCAGGGGAGAGCCCCAGTGGGAGCAAAGCAGGAATGGAAGACAAAAGCTACATCCAAGGGTTGCTGGAGGCAATGACTCAAGAAATAAAGCGAGAAATGGATCAGAAATTGAAAGAGCACAAGGATGAACTATCAAAAGATATACAGGATGTCAAACAAAAGTTGGATGCAAAAATAGAAGCTGAACAAACCTCAGTAAGAAGTGAGATAAACGCCAAATTAGAGGTAATGCATAATGATCTCACCTCATTGAGAGGTGAGATCAGTACTCTGAGAACCAACATTGAATCCATAAAGGGATCCATTTCCACCATGCAAACCACAATAGAAGCCACGGTCAACAGAGTGAATGAAATGGAAGGTAGAGTGTCAGATACAGAAGACAGAATACACCAACTGGACCAAAAAGTGACAGATATGGAAAAATCACTCAAATTAAACCAAAGGGAAATTCAAGAGCAAGCAGATAATGCTAAAAAATTTAACCTTCGCATAATCGGAGTGGACGAAGGTGAGGAATTCCAGAGCAAGGGAATGCAACACCTATTTAACAAGATAGTCAATGAAAATTTTCCCCACCTCAAAAACGACCATCTTAACTACATCACAAAAGCTTATCGAACACCCAACAAGCAAGATCCCAGGAGAAACACTTCTAGACACATTATAGTAAAAATGATGGATCTGAATAATAAGGAAACAATCCTGCATGCAGCAAAAATGAAGAAGGAGCTATACTACAACGGGAAAAAAATTAGAATCACTGCAGATCTCTCCACACAAACAATGAATGCAAGAAAAGCCTGGGAAAGCACCATACGAGCCCTGAGAGCCAATAACTGCCAACCCAGACTGATATACCCGGCAAAGCTAGCATTCACATTCGATGGAGAACTGAAAACTTTTAATAGCAAAGAAAAACTAAATGAATACATAAACATTAAGCCGGCATTACAAAGAATTCTAAGAGGGGGGACACAACCTGAAGAAAGCAACCAGGAACTGGGACCTGCCCCAAACAGGCATTACTCAAAGTCTAACTGAGCAAGCACAGGAGGAAAGGAAAGAAGAAAAACTTAGGAAAACGGAATGGCAGGGACAACAGTGCATCTCTCTATACTTTCTCTTAATATAAATGGGCTGAATTCGCCAATTAAAAGAAAACGAACTGAGGACTGGATCAGAAAACAAGACCCATCCATCTGTTGCCTTCAGGAGACCCACCTCTCAGCCAAACATACAAACAAACTCAGAGTGAAGGGGTGGAAAAGGATCTACCAATCAAATTCCCCCAATAAGAAAGCAGGTGTAGCTATCCTGATATCTGACAAAATAAACTTTTCATTAAAATCAGTACAGAAAGACAAGGACGGACACTACATATTAATAAAGGGAACAATCCAAGAGGAGGATATAACCATCATCAACTTATATGCCCCAAATATCGGTGCACCCAGATCAAACCTAACAAACCAATTACTAAATGGGCAAGGGAACTAAAGAGGGACTTCTCAAATGAAGAAATAAAAATGGCAAAGAAACACATGAGGAAATGTTCATCATCCCTGGTGGTGAAGGAAATGCAAATAAAGACAACCCTGAGATACCACCTTACCCCAGTCAGAATGTCCCACATCCACAAATCAGCCAACGACAAATGCTGGAGGGGATGTGGAGAAAGAGGAACCCTATTACACTGCTGGTGGGAATGTACACTTATACAACCACTTTGGAAAGCAGTCTGGAGGGTCCTTAGAAAGCTAAAGATTGACCTCCCTTACGACCCAGTCATACCACTTCTAGGCATCTACCCTGAACAACAGGAACCAATATAGAAGGACACGTGTACCTCCATGTTTATTGCAGCACTGTTCGCAATAGCTAGGATATGGAAACAACCTAGATGCCCCACCACAGATGAATGGATCCAAAAATTGTGGTATCTATACACAATGGAATATTATGCAGCCATTAGAAATGACAAAATAATGGCATTTGCAGGGAAATGGATGGAGCTAGAAGGAATCATGTTGAGCGAGGTAAGCCAAGAACGAAGAGACAAACGGTACATGGTCTCCCTGATAAGTGGATGCTAAATCCAAAAGGTTAGGTGATACGACAAAACTAACAGGACTTAAGAAACAAAGAACTCCCGCTCATCTGGTTGAACCACTACTAAATATCCCCATGCTGCTGATCACAAACATGGTATATAACATGTGAACACTGTTATATATTACAGACTGTGGTAGACAATTTGCTCCAGGGAAGTTAGAATGAACTTGTGACTTTGAAATTATGTAATCATTTAATCACAATCAAAAAAAAAAGAACCTCGGGGAAGGGAGGGAGGGAGGGGATGGTAGGGGGAAAACAATGGAGGGGGTAACAATGTTCAAGAGGAAGTGTACTCATTACCTCACTCATGTAACTGTAACCCTCTGTATAGTAGCTTTACAATAAAAAAAAAAAAAAATACTAGAGAAAAAAAAAAAAAAAAACTCATGGAACCCAAAGAGTCTAAAGTTCCATTAATAATAATGGTCTCTTAGTTTTGGCAGATGTGCCACAGTAATTTAACATATTAGCATTAGAGGTAATTGAAGCTGAGTGAGAAATATATGAACACTGTTTTATTTTTGTAACTTTTCTGTCATTCTAAACTTATTCCAAATTAAAATATTTATTAAGAAAAAAAAAAAAAAAAGACATAGATTTTGATCCACTTCACTGTGTTCCTTCATTTGTTACACAAAAAACTTGGATTGGGGCTGGGAAGGTGGCTCAGTGGTAGAGCGCTTGCCTTGCATGCATGAGGCCCTGGGTTCGATTCCTCAGCACCACATAAGCAAAAAGAAAAAAGCCGGAAGTGACGTTGTGGCTCAAGTGGTAGAGCGCTAGCCTTGAGCTGAAGAGCTGAGGGACAGCGCCCAGGCCCAGAGTTCAGGTCCCATGACCGGACCCAAAAACAAAACAAAACAAAAAAACTTGGATTATAACACAGGTGTAATTTTTTTTTTTTTTTTTGGGTCCAGCAGTGGAGCCTGAACTCTGGGCCTGGGCTCTGTCCCTCAGCTCTTCAGCTCA